GTACAGCGGCTAAATCACCGTATGCTACCTAGAGTTCAGAAAATGATCTATTCCGAAGGGTTATGATGCACATTTTTGAACCTCAACGGCAGAGGTGGGACTGACTACTATGTCACACTGGATTTGTGTGCATTTCGAACTTGATAATGCGGTGGCATGAACTAACATTGTTCGGAGGCCAGCCGTCTCGAATAACCGAACATCGTTTGTACAGGACACGGACCAAACGAAGGCATGCCCTGATTGGTCACAATGCCAGCCAATCGACTCGACGCTTCTCGCCCCCTCACGGAGATTCTGGCACAACCTTGTCGAACATTCTGTGACGACCCTATAAATACAGTTGTAATAATTTTCCTTTTTCTCCATAAAGGGCTGTGTAGAGCTACCGTGCCTTTTGATATACCATAGGGAGCGGAGCAGGAAGCCAAGGGACCGATACAGAGTTGCACTACCGTTCAGCAAGACACAACAAACATCTTCCGCACCCGGACTGCAGTCAGACGTGGTTCAACTTTACTTTTGACAAGAGACAGACAAATACAGTCCATAGATGCGATTTTCCGGATAAACCAAGCATGTAGTGGACCTAATACGCTACTCATAACACTGCTGAAAATTCTTCGACAACCCACAAACGGTTTCTCCCTCTTGGGGCTCATCAGTTGGGCACAGTCCCCGAGTGCTACTTGAACGAAATTAGCGAAATACACTCGTTTGCAAACCAATTTGGTTTTGCGGGAGACTCACCTGGGACCTAGCTGAATCTTTTGTCTATGACGTGGTAATTATACTTATCAGGAATTGGTTCTGGTTTTACCCCGCGGGTAAATACAGACTTGTCATTAGAATGTCAATTCTCTGGATTGGGATAGCTCTCTGATAAGAACCTAACAACCATACAGTGGCATGACATGAGAACTGTTTGACTTCACACTGTAAGTGATGGTCATACCATGAGGAAGGATCCCCTGTGGGTTATAAAGTGAATACCTGAAATGATGGTCGCGGAGCAAATATCCTTCAAAATAAAAAAGCGAAAGAAGGGCTGGATGGGAAGTGCACAGGTCAAGTCTGTGTGGTCGGGTAACCAGTATCCGCATAGCCAATGCAATGCGAGATGATTCGATGCGCATGACTGTCACCGCTAAGGGAGCTCAGTGTGATTGGGCCGAAAATGGTCTGGTTGGAGGACCAATATTTCCTGTGGCGAAACGATATGAGTCGATAATGACACCTCCGCTCTTCTCCCCTCACCCCGTTCCTGGAGACATCTCCGTAGACCCATTCCTAATGACTGACGGATTCATTCGCTACCCATTGCCACTAGCCGCAAAATCTACAGATGATTCGGCCGCCACGACGACAGACTTCAAAATTGTGCTTCAGACCCAAACACCCAGTTTACCTGGGACCGTTCGCAATCTGAAACAAACTGGATCGCAGAGTGCTCTCGCATGAACGCTGGATTTTCATCCTATTGACGTATGCCGCTGTCCGAAAAGAGGATTCAAGACCCGAGTACGGTTGTTGAAATGACCCCCTAGTCGGCCTCCATTCGTTTCTCGTTGTGGAGCTCTGGTGATCCAGAAGCCGCTGTTGCTGGTTCTGCTGGTGTTCGAATTGTTCTAAGTCGCCGAGCTGAAGGGTCTCAGGTTGAATGACTGCCTCTTGATGGTCGCCTCCGCGAGGCAACGTCGATCAGTGTATTCTGTAAACGTACCTATAATTGCTGCCTGTTCATTGTATATGCATACACCAAAACGGACTGTAGCTCTGATACACTCAAAGACAGTTTTTACGATGCTTTGGGCACTTTGATACGGCGGGCTGGGAGCTCAGATATGGTTGTGGTTGTTGGAGATATAAGTGCGCAATCATAGGTAGACTTGGCAATTTTGAGGTCATCTAAGACTGGAATCGAGACATACGGATAACGGCGAACACCTGCTGCAGTTACGTGCTGACCGCAGATAAAATCGTTCAGCTGTAACACCCTCTCGGTGCCTAGCTGCCATGCTACCCGAAGGAAGCGCGAGGGCTGAGATACTGCCAGGTTGCCCAAGCCCAGACAGGGGAAGTCGAGAGGCAGAGGTCGGGCTCGAACACCACGGAATCCGGCTAGTAAATTCACGCTCTACCCACTTGAGCCATCTCGCCGACCGCAAACTGTTTCTATGTAGCACCAACTCCCAAAACAACTGAATTCGCCTGGCCACATGGTACCTCCCGAAATGAAACCAATCTGCGACATAGATAGAACACATCGCCATTAGCTATAGGTAGCGTGAGTCAATTAATGACTGTCGCTTTTTCTCGAACACCTACGTAGATTCGGATCACAAGCTTGTTCATTACTGCCACTTCTTTCACTTTTTAAGAGCACGGAAGATATGCACACTTTCCCTGACCACGTGAAACAAGCCTACCAGAACCTTTTCGAACAAGGCGTCCTCCTTTGTTGACTCCACAAACCTGCAAGATGATGGGGCCTGCGCTTGCGAGACGGTTAAACCAGCAAGGGCATGCGTACAGCCGCCCTACGATCGTGAAGTTCTTTGGCTTCAACAGTGCGTTCAATTATGCGACCAGTTAGTTCTTTTGAACACGCTTGCACGATAGGGTATGTCCCAGAACTCCTCCAACAGTGCGTTCAATTATGCGATCAGTTAGTTCTTTTGAACACGTTTGCACGATAGGGTATGTCTTAGAATTCCGTGAACATCATGCACTGTTCCTATTCACATACTTGTGGGCACGTGAGTTCATGGGGAGCTCTCTAAAAGCTTCATACACGTAATGATGTCAGACAAGGATGTCCACTCTCTCCATTTATTTAGTTTCGTTATTGATGAGATAATGAAGTTCCGAAAAATCCCGATGTTCATATCTGTCCGAGCGGAAACTTTGTCAACCTGAAATACGTAAACGACAATGCCTGCCTTTCTGGAAAAGAACAGGTAGCGCAAGCACTATTGGAAAAGCAGACCAACATCATTCGGTCGGTTAGATTGTGCTTCGCACCCACAAAGTGCAAATTCATGCTGCAGGACGTAGCCTTTGAACATGCTTATGAGAACCCAAGGAATGACATTGGTGGTCATGGAACTCGATAGGTTCTGATGGTGGTCCGACCAGCAAACTGAACGCGCGAATCTCTAAGACAAGAAATGAGGCTGCCAACTGGTGCCACTTGTGGCGTCAAAAAAGAATCTCACTGGGCTGCAAAGGAAACGTGCACCAGACTATAGTGCGGGTTGTAATGCTGCACGATTGTGAGGTTTGACCGATTCGGGTGGAGGTATGAGATATCTTTCGGTCTTTGATCACCAATGTCGCAGAAGTGTAGCTAAAACCGGCGAATTTTCAATGAGATGATCAGAAAACGGGTTTTCGGTCAGATAGAGAAAGAGGGGGGGATAATTCCATCAAAGAATGCACCCAACACTGCAAGCTAAGGTGGTTAGGTCGCATGATACGCATACTGCATTATCATCTGCGGAGACAAACGCTGTTTTCCGTGCCTAATTCGGGGTAACGAAACCCAGAGGTGGGAAGAATTAGACGTGGCAGAAGATAATGAAGAATGTTACGAAACTTTTGGGTACTGTTGGTGCTTTTCGCCTTCCGAAATGGAATCTGCGTGACCCTCCCAGTGCCTGACTGGAGACTGAATGATATGCCGGCTAACCAGTGTCAGTGGCGTTCGTGTTATCATTTTCTATCCGAATAGTCGGACTGGGTGCTGGAGGTGCAGGCCTCGTGGAGGTGGGCGGTGCGCTAGCCCGGGGTCTCCCTCCCTTCCCCTTTGTTTCTTTCGATTATGAGGCTTTTTTGAAATAAATTTAGATGGTTGTACGGCAGTGACGCGCCGGTACTCTCATCTGTTGTTGCTCTCAACGAAGATTATTCAATCAAGGATAGGGGTGCACTTAATCGTTGACTAGTTAGGCCGTTCAGCTGTGTGGCCACTAATCTGGATGCACTGGACCACGTGTGCGGAGGACCGCATTGTAGGAGGCTTGATTGCGAAAAGTTGGAAAGTGACATTAAGATTAACAGATAAACAGAGAAGGTTCGTGGATATATACCTCATTCTCGATGTTACCGTGGCACAACCGATTGTTGCGTGGGAAGAGTGAGTTAAAGCTTAACCTACGACATTGTTGAGCATGTTATTCTGCAGTGGAATCAGACAACTGAGGCACCTAAACAGCGCGATCGATACAAATCACCGAATCAGATCGACTAAGCAATGACGAAGCAAGTGTTACCGAAATGCTTCGAGGTCGTTGGCAAACCTCAGTCGCAACAGCCAGGCCGATTTCAGTTTCACTGCTCTTGCCAGCCGTGTAACCACCAACCACTGTTCCCTTGATTGAGTGCTTCGAATAACTCTTCAGCTGAGTCTCCTGTTAAATCCAAATTAGTTTGCAAGTGAGTAAATTTCGAGAGCTGCTCTCTTATTTAATATCTTACGAACTATAGTGTCTTCATGCAGATATTGTCCATTCCCGACCAGCTCGTGGAGAAGTCGCCTAAAACAGTTTTTTTCGCAAAACCGGGTGTTCCGCACGACAAACGTGTTAATATCCGAAATTTCCTATACAAAAGTTGATTTATAAATAGTACAGTCCTTTGACATCTGTTTTGCACGCCAGCTGTACAAGATACTGAAGTGTATACTTCTGGCGCAGTTCTGTGCATCATTCTCACAAAACAGATAAGTTGCGAACGTGTTGGAAAACCTCTCACTAGGATGTATGGGAGAAACAATGAATAGATACAACATACCTGACCCTCCAAGACCACATCAAACTGTGCATTCGACCCGTTTTGGCAGGTGGTGTCCACTTTGACAAAATCAATAAGATTCGTAGCGGATATTTCTGACGAAATATGAGAGTAGTAGGGTTTGGCCCACACGCTTAACTGCCATCTTTGACGGTATACATTCGCCACAGGGGGAGCGCGGAATTCGAACGGGATGCGTAGTGTTGCCATTTCCGAATTGTCTTCGCCCAGTGCCAGCAAACCGCATATACGTCCGTCACTGTCCGGACGTTGGTTTCGTGTGACTGGTGAAGGAAGAGAGATGAATACAGGTTCTTCAAAAGGCTGCGGTTTGGAGCAATTGGACCAGTTGACCTTGCTATATGGATGTAGTGTGCATTCCACTTGCCACAGGTTATCTCGTTGGTCTGTCATATGTGAATCCAAACGAAGTTGAAATTCGGCTGCGAAAAAAAAAACGATGGGAGGCATATGGTGAATTTCGTCCAACTGTGCAATGAGACATCGCTTCTGTTCCGCGTGGTCCCAGAAACCACCGCACAATAGCCAGCAAGAAGGAACCTGAAAAGACCTCTCCCAACTCAGTCGCGTTGTTCTCACACACAAAGAAACACGTGTAGCTGGTAACGCAGGAATATACGACCTAGTCGTGACGTTCCTTCATCACTTAGAGAATGGACATCTACAACATCCGAGCTCAAAAACCAATTCGTTATACCGACAACCCAACGGCGTTTGTCAACCGTGTTTGGGGTAAACTGATGCAAGCTAATACATTCGGTGCCTCACCCTCGCCTTACTCTTCCGTTGTTCGTAAATAAAGAGCGGCAGCTTCAACCATCGTAATCCGCTATGAATTTTACGCCTGATACGCTGGTGTACAGGAAAACAAGATTATTTATTAGTGTATTCTGCCTGAAACATGAGACGGCCTTTGTGCAACATACTCAGTTGATAAGAGACTCAGCCGAGATTTAGTCGAGTCTCCCGTTAAAAACAAATCAGTGTGCAAGTGAGTGTGCTTCACGAAAATCGCACAATTTGGATCCAAGTGGAACCCAAGTGGAAACCTGATGAGTCCTGAGAGGAGTGAGATTGGTCACGGCCTGTCGTAGAGTTTTCAGCAACCCAACGAGCAGTGTCTGGACCAGTTGGCTTATCTACTGGGAAATGGGCATGACAGGGGTGAAAAAATCGATGGCAGGCCGATATTTCAACATCACTCATCGCCGGAGTTCGGGCTTCCCAGTGAAGCTGTCAATGCAACTTTCCAAGTAAGTACCTTTCTAGCCTCCACACCGTGATTGGCGATATCGATTTGGAGAAGTTGGAACTTGGATAAGCACCACGAGCAACGAAATGGTGAAGGTGTCATATCAACAGCGGCTTAGCAACGGAGTACAGACAAGAGTCTGATCATTACACAAACAACCTCGAAACTTTTCTTGAAAATTGACTGAGCTACTTATGAGTGTAGGTGAGACCACACGAGTAGACCGTACACAGTCGTCAGGATAGCTGGAAAAGAGGAAATCCCAAATGCATAAAATGTGGGACTCCCTCGCCCAAGGGTTGGCTGATTTGTTGTGCTGAATGCACTACTCATTAGTGGATTTGTTCAAATGTGATTCCCATTCGGTTCCTTTTCATCATGCCAGTCGATGGGAGCACAAGAGCTGACATACTTTCAGGCGACCCATGCCTAGAAATAAGCAGTCGAAGTCCCGGGGTTGGGTTCAAACTGAAAACTTTTCGCTCAGTAAGTTCTTGACCTAACCGGTGAACTACCTCGAGCTATCAACACTACTGAACGACTTGCATTAAGCCATTTATGTACTTCAAGATGTTCGGCCAATTCTGGCCGAATACCCGCTACGATTGAGTTGCTGTAAAACGAGTGTACTGAGGGCGCCATCTCAACACGACCCCTATGATCGAAACGAGTGGGGAAAAATAGTGGATGAGAGAGTGTTGATTAGTCTTCCTTGGTCGATGGAGTATATTGAGGAGTACGTTATATGACAGGTTATTAAGTTCGATTACCAAGCGCTGAAGGGTTCTAGTTCGACACTCTAGTTCACCATTGAATCCCTATCTACGCAAACCAATTTAAGAGCAAGGAAGGTCCGGTGTCAAGTTTGCAATTTTTCAAACAGCTTTGCTCCAGTTCCTCGGCTCTTGGGCTAGAGTTCAGCTGTCTCGTATATCCAACGTCTCGTCAGTGTGGAAAGATTCAGAGTCTAGCGGTAGAACGACCAGAAGGAAGATTAAACATGAGCGCACACCTGCACAGAGAGAGATCGTTCAGTTGTAGCACCCTTTCGGTACCTAACTGCCATGCTACCTGAAGAAAGCACGAGGGCTGGTATATTGCCAGGTTGCCCAAGCCTAGACAGGGGAGGTCGAGAGGCAGAGGTCGGGTTCGAACCACGGACCGTCTGGTCAGTAAATTCACGCTCTAACCACTTGGACCATCTCACCCCACAGTAACTCTCTCTAGTGGGACTGTCAAGTATAGTGCAACATTGGAACAAACTAATCAAGTTTTATGCAATAAAGCAGATATCATGAGGCCAGATGGCGCCTCGCCGGGATCATACAAACACACAGGGTGTGAATTTTCCGCACTTTCTGTGGCAACTCAAGGATAATTTTTTTGACAAATTTACCACAGGACGATTCAGAAGCAATACAGAAAGTGGGGCCTGCAAATGTTCAAATCGTTTGGAACTAATTCCGTAATTCGAGCAATGCGCACACGTTTTCGTCCTTATTTTAGGAGTAGTAAGGGCGAGATGGCCCAAGTGGTTAGAGCGCGAATTTACTGACCGGAAGGTCCGTGGTTCGAACCCGACCTCTGCCTCTCGACTTCCCCTGTCTAGGCTTGGGCAACCTGGCAGTATCCCAGCTCTCGTGTTTCCTTCGGGTAGCATGGCAGTTAGGCACCGGAAGGGTGCTTCAGCTGAACGATTTTTACGGCAGTGAAGCATCGGTGTTGAACACTGATGTCATGCTGTCGATGAAAGGAGGAGTAGTTAACAGAAAATTTACGGTGAAATGAACTGAAGATGTCGCCTCGATTGGTAACGAAACGTCTGCGAATCAGTTACTAAGCTCGGAGAACAGATCAATAGTCGCTACAGTCAACCAAATTACACAACGGTGGTAGGCAAACGTGTATCGCATACCTGTAACACTGTCATCATAAATTAGCAAAAAAAAAAACAAATTTGGCGCTGAGATGATGCCAGAGTTGAGGGCCATCGATAAGTCCCACGTAGCCAGAAACGATATCACTGCGGCATACGCCCAAAAAATGTGCCCTAAATACCGCTTAGGAGCTCAGTCAGAAAAACCGAGGTAAGTCAATCCGGGAGACTACCGAAAACAAGATACCACCGATAGAAACTAAATTAAAAAATCGTTCAGCTGTAGCACTCTCTCGGTGCCTAGCTACCGTGCCATCCAAAAGAAGCACGAGGGCTGGGATACTGCCAGGTTGCCCAAGCCTAGACAGTGGAAGTCGAGAGGCAGAGGTCGAGTTCGAACCACGGACCTTCCGGTCAGTAAATTCGCGCTCTAACCACTTGGTCTGATAGAAACTAGGACGGTCGCCGGTATCTCGGCGATTGAGAAAGGCTCGGATAAACTAGCTTCGACCACAACACTAAGGGAACGGTTAAAGACCTTACAAGACATGGCCGTTGGTCGATATCAATTGCTTTGTTGTTGTTAGTTTCTATCCAGCTCGTCTGAATGAGTGTCTGAAGAGGTAAACACGACAGAAGGACTGCAGTGTACCAATATTTTGAGAGTACATCACTGCCACGTGCTCGGAGATTGAAGGACGCGACGAGGCATGACGATATACAGGTAGAAAGGGGAAAATAGATGAAACCCTGCAAAAATGATGACACACAGTCAAGATTCAAATGAAGTATGGAGTCCCTCTAAAAATTCGCATCATTAGTTTGACACCATTATCGAACTGGACGAGTCACCGTACGAACCGCATTTTACGTAACTAAACGTGCGCAGAACAAACTAACCTTGGCTTCGACCACCTGCATGACAACTAGGGAGGACGAGTATGTCTTTCGGTTCCAGGCACAGTGGAATCACCTTTGAAGGAGTCGAGCGAAAAGGAGTCTTTGAACAACCCTGAGGTTTATCATTTTCAAATTTTGGGACTGGCGAAGAGTACCGTCCAGATTTTCCAACGCCGAATGCGTCCTCTCTGACTACGATGCTGGTTAACGTTGGGGATGAATCAGCTGATGCTGGTTTCTGTTCGGTCAGCGACTCTGTCTGATCTGGTTTCTCGGTCCCATTTGATGACGATCCGTTGGAATAGACGTTGAGAACAAAGTGTTCACGCAGATGCAGCTGTTTGGACAGTGCTTGGTACCAGTCCTCCGGTCTGACTGGATGACGCATTCGAGGAGGCATTTCAGCTACAAATAGAAACGATCAACATCAACACTGTACTACCAAGTTTATTGGAACTAATCGTCCAGCTGCGACACCTCTTCGGTACCTAGCTACTATGCCATCCGAGGGAAACATGAGGACTGGGATACTGCCAAGTTGCCCAAGCCTAGACAGGGACAGTCCAGACGCCTGGATTGGGTTCGAACTATGGACATTGTGGTAAGTAGGTTTGCGCCTCAACACTGAGCTATCTCCAGCTTGTGTGTACCTTGGTTTTACTGGCTTTTGCTATTCAACTGAATAGTGTCACAATACCGAGGTTCTCAAACGATAGTAGAGAAGATAGCGGGAATAAATTGAAGATTGGACTAGGCGTAACCTTTTACGGAGGTAAAGTGTAAAAAAGAAACATGCAGACTTGAAGAAAAGAGGCAGCCAACATACTTATTTGAAACGGAATCTCGTTTGTAAAATCCTCCATTAGATCGATCACCTTAACGTGCCTTCCGATTCGTCGTCGTGCGACAGACTTTGGCGGTCTGATGTAGCTGTAAGAAATAGAAGCGCAAACGAGTTAAGATCAAGGTAATGCGGTTTGTAAAGAGACCAATAGATAGAGATGCTACTCACTGTTGTCGAACTTGGTGACGAAGCACTTCGTCGCCGTAGAAGAAGGTCACACGGGCCGACTCCACACCCGGTTGCATTGTGATCACAATCTTCTGAAAATGAAGATATATGAGAAGGGAGAAAAACATATCAAACTAACATTCATTCTGCTTGGCAGACACTATAAATTACTAAAACAAAGTGGAAGACATGGGGGCATCTCCGATTACAGAAAACTGTAGTTAAATAGAAAGGTCCCGTTGGTGCTGGGTGGCAAAAAAAATCGAAGGGACCACAATAAGACCGAGTGTCAAACACAAATCCAAAAACTATCCAAAAGTAAGCTTATATTGAACAAACCCACCTGTGACTGTCTGGGACCAATGACCATGCGACTCGGTTCAACCAGAGCACCTGTCGCCATTTCCACAGCTTTGTCATTCGATACCTGTCTGCACGTTTCGCGAGGTTCGACACTGCACAGAATCCATGCAGCTCGAAGGCCGAAATTCGTGAGAACAACGCAGGCGACTGACGTGCCTTTCGTTGCCATCGCCGTCGGAGATAAGACGGCTGGAGGGTCTATATTCAACCCGAAGCTGGAAGACTTTCTGTGGGCTTTTCGATTCGAAAGTGGAGTTGCTGTGGTCCAATAGATTTCGGAATTCAAACGGGTGCAGCAACAACACTCCAACTGAGAACTGCTCGAATAGCCAATCAGCCGTACCTAGGAACGAAACACAGTGGGAACACTATCTCTCAACTATTTTTTCGATGAAGCCCCAGAAGCAATCGATTAGCATGAAAAGCATACTCGGATGGAACTGGGCAAATAGATTGACTCTGGTGGTCAGGTCTGTGAGAGAAAACTGAAAGTGCAAGCGGTAGGAGAATTGATGAAGTCCCCTCCTGATCGCCATCGAGATGATTCCCCATGTTGTGCTCATCCTTGGTGCTCTACCGAAACAACACGACAGGAAAAATTATCTGCGGACTTCCAATGGTCTCATTGAGACCATTACAGTAAGAACAAAGGCAGGCGTTTTGATATTGCTTTCCCAAACTCTCCGATACGCATGGCTGCTGCACGTTGAGGACAAAAAAATTTCAGTATTGACCACCAGTGTCTTCGGAGCGTTGCCCGAGTCTGGTGGGAACACCGGATTAGTAATGGTGAGTACGTCCGATGGTTTTCGGAAGGATGGAAATGGATGAGATGATCACACTCCAAAGGCTGCGCTGGCCTGA